CAAAAAAATTATCTCACCTTTAACGGTTTTTCATTTATCGCCAATAATTTACCCACAAAAACGGAAATTTTTAGGATATTTTAGATTTTTTGCCCATAAACGACACACCCTGTATATGATTCAAACATTGTTCGAAGTAGAGGTTATAGCCCTGGATTTTTCACGCGTCCTGGTTCAAGAATTTTTTGAAAATAGTAATTGGTTTTCGAGAAAATAATTTTTTTCTGAAACCATGCAGTGCGCCGTAATAATCGATGACCTCATCGCGTCTTGACAGCCCCCGAAATAACGATTTCAATATGGATTTTTTCGAATATCCGGAGCAGCGTATGTGATACACGAAAACCGCAAATACAAAAATTGTAGCTCTTGATGCGGCCTATGACACCGTTTGAACCAACTAGCCATATTTTTTTTACGACTTTTGGTTTGCGGCTAATAATTTACTCTGTAAAAGAACAATTTTCTAGGTCTTTTAGATTTTTGCCTATAATTTGAAAACCCTGTATAAAATCGAATAAATGTCCGGAATAAATGTTATTGTATTGGATCTTCTGCATCTGCCGGTTAAAGAATTTTGCCGATCGGATGAAGGGTCTTGGAGGAAAAAAAATTTTTTCAAGCATATTTAAAAAATACTTGGTAAAATTTGACTGCACCCAATTTCTACCGTTTAAATATGGACATGGACTTTTACTTCCCTGCAAAACTTGAAGTTGATATCTGCAAATTTAGGACACTAAATACATTTCAATACTGTACATACTGTACTGTACAATAGGTGAAAACCTTAAATACAAAAGTTTTTGCTGTCTATGCGGGCTATATCGCAATATAAAAGAAACTGAGATCTGAATCATAGTCTTTCAGTTATAACCAATTTTCAGTAATAGGGGGATCCATTTTTCAGTTTTTCTAAATTTGCGGCGCACCCTGTATATTTTTGAAAAATCGTTACGATCAAAAGTTTATAGAGCCGTATCTTCTGCTTCTTCTGGTTCAAGAATTTTTTTGGTCTCGTAAACAGTTTTTGAAAAATGATGTTTTTTGTACTCTTACTCTTACACGTTCGTTTTTTTATTTTTTTAGAATACTTTCCGACACCCAGCCCCCCTATTTTCAATAGGTTCCGTGACGGGGCAAAGCTGCATATATGTGCCAAATATGAAGTCGATTGCTTCAAATATCGAACACTTATCGTGTTTCATAGCAAAAAACCAGTCGAAGAAACAGTCGAAAATCGCGAAGAAATGATAGATACCGGAGTCAGATCAGGGCCATTTCTTATAGCTTTGTAGCTCCAACGGTTTGAAAGTTATTTAGCAAAAACCAAAAGACGAGAACGGAGAACAGAAAACAGAACGGACAACAATAAAAAAAAAATTTTTTTCGACGGTGATCATTCCTGTACCAACAGCGATCCCATAGGGCCTACTGTTACCGAGATATAAAATTTCTATACGAGGACAGATACTTTCGAAGAATTCGATTTCATCGATTTTCGGACGTAACGAGTGGTGGCAGATTTTTCAGATGAAATTTTTGAAAATTAACATAACGTGGATTGTTGTTTACGAGAAATATTAATTTTTGTGAAAAAGTCAGTAATAATTATAGGTTTATTAGATATTATGTTATATGCGAGCAAGTATAGCTATGGAAGAAGAACAAAAGCAAAATCCGCGCAAAAAATAATTACCTACGAGATTTAAAATCAAAAACAAAAACAATTAAGTATTATAATAAGTTATAATTATTAATAACCAATACCAAACAAGTTTTTCTGCATTTTCTTTTAGCACAACATCTGTCAAATATCCATTTAACTTTATTTTATTAAGATTACATTTGTTGCTTTTTTTTATTTTAAATTCTTTTAAAATCCTTTTGCATATTTATTTTTGACAAAGCTGAAACTAATACAAAGAATAGACTAATTTAGAAACCGAATATGGAATTATTCCGTCCGAGAATCTGAAAAAATTATATGTGAGTGAAAAAACTAAAAATCTTCTTGAAATATTATAGTGATATATTATCCAAACAATTCACACTTTTGCATTTCAAAATTTTTCATTTTTTATTTCGCCTTCCTGAACTTTTTAACATTTTAAATCTAACCACTCCCACAAGGTGTACTCGTTGTTAAACTAAAAGATATTAAAATTGCATTTTGTGAACAAAATACCGGCATGTTCGCAGCATTAAATACTCAAGTGAAATTGTCTGATCAAAGCTCTTCTGACAAAAAATGTGGTCCGCGAAAATTCGGAAATTCGTTGGGTCCGAGCACTTTCGATTGAACGATGTAATTTCAAATCGAACAAAGCCAATTTCGAATGATGCGTATAGTCGTAGCGCCCGGTATTTCCTACAAAGAATTTGGTTTTTGATTTATTTCGTTGATCCATAAACAACGAATTTTATATAGCGGTGATCAAATTAATCTTCGAAAATACATGTCGTACGTTCCACCTGCTAACAGATTTTCGCAACTCGATTATTCTACACCACCAAACGATTATTCTATTTCGGGCCGGAGATATTGTCTTTGTGATTTGAAGCCATTGTTTAAATTTTAATCGGGTCAGCGAATATCACGTACGAGAGCACGTATAAAATAATTACGGCCGGGATGATTATAATTTATTCAACGAAGCCTTTATAGAACGCGTGGGCAATGCATTTTGGCAACTATCATCCGAATGTGATTGGTTAGTTTTAGAACATCAAAATAGTCGATACCCAGTTATGAGAAGATGATAATTACGCAAGTTCTCCTTGTAGTAAGTAAAGATATAAACATATTGTACAAAATAAACAAAGTTTTTACCAATATTTTAATATTACAAAAATAAAAACTCCATTATTATTTCGGATGAGGCTCGGAACTCAGAAAAGGAGAGAAATATCAATTTGATGGCTTAATTAAGAGAATTGTATCACTTATCTATCCAGCGTTCCCTTGAAACATTGAAGTTATCTTGGATTTTATGTACAAACAAACCAAAAGCACTCAAGCACCAGGCTATACTTCTAGCAAAATTTAAACCGCCCTGTATATGCTGGCACAATCTGTATGTGCGTATACAGAGCGCAATGCTATGCTTTAAATTGCATCCTATATGTTGAACGTATTCGAATTGCAACATGATGAAAAGGTTTTAGTTGCTTTTGAACCCCAACAATACAGCTTTATTCTTGTGGTTCGTATTACAAACTACCCGTTTATACCCGAAAACATGGTTCGGAAAAACGAAAAAATTCTTCTAAACTTCCTTAAAACATTTTATTTAGAAGTATTTGACAATGATTAAAAAACTGTTCTGATGTATATAAAAAAATGATAAATATGACATATTATTTTTTCCGACTCGAAGAGATTGCTAGTAAGACTAGCCTAGTTTTATACCACACAAAATTATAATTATCCTTGACAGATATGTTCTTAAATTTATGGTATATTATGCAGCCATTGTGGCAAACGGCATTTCAGTCACAAGTTTATTTGGCACAAGCGGAGCGAGTGTTTAATAAGCGAGTGACTTAAAAATATTATCACCAAACGTGTTGCGTACTATATTTTTTCTAAAACCGTCAGTCAAATTCAAGCCGTGCGGTAAAATCTCCGAAAATATCTGACTGTTATCAAATCCGCACAGTAATATCCCGGAAAAGTGTATAATAATGTTTTTAGTAATATTGAGTTTATCCTCTGCGCATTGTATAATACGCTCTATCCTTTTGTGAGGCGAACGGTTTTCAATTCATAGTTTTAACGAGAGCGGAGTTCACATTAGCGCGTCTTGACTATCTACTACTAATTTATACTATGTTCATATATTATAACCGAGAAGAAACACACATGCTTGCAAAGAAAGAAAGAAAAATTGCAATTGCAAAGAAAAATTTTCAGGCAACAAAATAGTATGCAATTAGTTTGATTTTAGAGTTTAATTTTGCAGGTGGGGAGCGCAGGAGTGATTTAAGAATTTGATCAAAATACTACATAATTTTTGCAAAACAGCATGAATACATTCACCGAATGACGCGTAACGTGATCAACGAAATTTAAAAACGTCAAAATACCCGCGGCCCGTGGCTAAAGAACCATAAACGTTCAAAGTGGCTAGAGACATTGAAGTATAAAGCTTATATAAAGCTTAAAGGCAGCCTTGATCAGTACATAATTGGGTATTTTAGTGAAGAAATAGTATATCATGCAACAAGTGCGGTAAACGACATCTGACTCACGAGTTTATTTGACACAAGCGGAGCGAGTGTTTAACAGACGAGCGAATTAAAAAGTGTATCGAACTTGTTGCATACTATATTGTTCGCAAAACAACACTAATACATTCACTGACATGACCGTCAGAATTGACAAACGTCACAATTCAAGCCGTAGGAAATATCTTTGAAAACATTCGATTGCTCTCAAACCCGTGCGGTAAAATCCCAGAAATGTCCGAAGTGGCTCAGATCCGTGGGAAACGAAACTAAAATTGTTAATTAGCGTTTCCCGCACGTTAGACCGCTGTGTAATTAGGCATTTGGCAGAAGGGAGTAGAAAACCATATTTTTTCTACCTCTTCTGTAAAATACCTAATTATACACCGATCTAGCGTGCGAAAAGCGTCACTTTATAAGGTGAGTCAGGAGGTCAGTGTCAGAATTCTTGTTGTTTTGCAAAAGTGTATCCAAAACTAACCGTGGTAGAAAAAGTATAGTATGCAACACGTTTGGTAAACTTTTTAAGTCATATAATATTATTATCGATTTCCCTGCCTTTGTTATATACTTGGGGTTAATTTCCTTGTAGTGTGAATATTTATTATTATATTATTTTCTAAAATAAATAACTAAATGACCAATTTTTATATTTTTATCATATTTAGCACAACAAAACACAGTGACTTTGTATACACAATACAATATTTTAAAACCATAAGTGAATTTAAACAGCTTTTGTCTTAAAAAAGGTAAAATAGGATACTCACCACCTCTATATTCACGTTCAGCGATGTTGTCCTCGATCCTGAATATGTCGTCACCGTTTCGAACGTCGTCTTTCTCGGGATTATCAGTGTCGTCATCCTTTTGAGTCTTCGACGACCAACAGAAGCAGCTGGTAAATGTGCGGAGCATAGCATTTGATTGATTTCCACTTCATTCATATATAAAAATCCACAAACTTTTCTATCGACCGACGCTTTATTACATCACACGAAAACTAAGCGACACTGTAGTAAACGAACGACAAAACGAACTTTTTGGGTCCATTCCACAATACGGTTTTGAAAAATCCTTTATATATATATTTACAGAAAAAATACTTATTTTTCAGCAGCATACTCGGGTGAAACCAATAATTTCATTATTAGTCTTGTATAATGTATCCTATATTTACCTATATGCTTATTTATTGATATAATTTGATAGATATTCGAAATAGCAATAATTGTTTTGAAACGTCTACATTTCGAAAACTAAAAAAGTTATTTGAGCAGGACCCCCTGTATGTGAACATCCATTTTATACGCTTATCACTGCGACTGTTCTTGCTTGTCACTTGTCACTTTTACAAGTTTTAACAAATTTATCTATTTTTCATCTTAATGCTTAATTCATTTCAACATAGTAGTTTTGCAAAAATTAAATCCTAATAGACAGATACTAGTAAAATTTCCATGGCCCTGTTTTAAGATATTTATTAGGTGATTTGTTCATGTTAATTATAATCAGTAAAACCAGACTGAAATCGTGTTTTTTTTTTTTCAAATAACTGAGTGTTATTTATCATTATTGTGTATTCTGCCGATTTTTTGATTATTCAATAATTTTAATAAAATAAGCACCCAAAAATCATAATTTTTGAAAAGAACCTGTTTCGAAAATCGGAACCAATTCTGCAACAGTAGGCAAAGTATGAAAAAATAACTTTACTGTGGTCTGGTTGGAAAAAAAATTATTATGAAATATATATAAATGACATAAATATCACCTAGAAGTGAGGAAAATTATTAGATGATTCGTCATTAGAATTTCTTATTCAACCCCTTTTATCTGCCAATTCATTAAATTATTACCTTTGGTTCCGTTTTGTTTCGTATCGCTCCTAAGAATTTCCATAAAGAACCACTGTCATTTATTAAACTCATTAACCGACATTCATTAAGGATGTGTTTCAAATTTTCCACTATTATTGACTGATTTTAAATTGCCTAACTAGTGAATATAAATATTCATGCGGTTTCAGAATGTTCGAGTTTTTAGAGGGTAAAAATTGGAAATAGGCAACAATTTTTCGTATGGAAATTCGCAAACAGAGATTTTGCAGGAACGCTAATACTTTCGATTGCATCGGGTTTATCATAAAATAACCCCTGCCCACTTTCCGGAATCGAACAAAATATATAAAGTTTTTTAATGGTTTCCAAGTTAAAAGCCTCGGCTGTTCATTTGTTTACCAATTGGTTCAATCTGAAGTAAGCAAACAAAATTGATTGATTTCACAATAAAAATGAGGAAACAGTTAAAAATGCTTTTTACTTCGTTTGTTAACAAATCTACACGGATCGATAAATGAAATCTGAGAAAGCAAAAAAAAAATGAAATGTATGACGAAAACTGCTCGACTCCATAACTTTTACTAAGCTAACCAAACGTTATTGACAAGAACCATAAAACATTAAAACATTCAACATCATGAATCCATTAAAATAAAAATAGTAAAGGTGAAGAACCAAAATGGTACTGTCAAATTCGTTAAATTAATAAAATGTTTTCAGACTAGATCTACCAATTCTATAAAAATTGACACGAGAAAGAATATTTTGTCTAAAATTAATAGGCAATGCATCAATCCCAATGAATGAATGAATGAATAGTTTGTTTTACTATCAACCTAGTTGGTTCATTTATGATAATTTGGACCATTCGTCGAAATCCTAAATGATTATCCCAATGAAACTAAGCGGCCACGTTAAGATATTATCAGTGACATCAAGATTCATCTCTTGTTGAATTTTTTTTTGCATAAAATTTAAAATTTAAATTTAAAAAATCTACTGGAAACCGAACTGTTGGAGTCAGCTGCTACCGCAATAGTGTTTCGTCCAATAAAACCATAACCAATAATCTGCCACAGTAATAAAAAAAGCAACAGTCGCTACGAGAATATGACCCTGCAAAATATTACTTCAACAAAATGAAGATAAAACACACAACGCATTCGGGACATAAAAATAAAATGAAACGTCGACCCTATCGCATTTCTAAATTGCGTTTGATGTTCCATCGCCACAAATATTAAACAAGTTTTCTCAAAATTACGTGAGTTCACAAACTTTTCGGAATGTCAGTTGGTAACGTAACTACGCCAGATAGGACAAAAATGTAACAACCAAATCCAAAATCCAGGCATGTTCAATGAGCAGTAAACTCTAATATCGTTAATGCAAATCAATCAATCAAATATATGAATGACATTTGTCAATCAAGTTATTCCAATCTAATATTTTGATTATTTTCGACTTCGATGTTCGATAGACTAGTTCGTGTGAATATGGCATATGTTGCATATGGCTACAGAAAGTAGCAATTGCAATAACGAAAACTTATTGAGAAATACAAAATGGATCAGTTTTTTGGCATCCTTTAGTTATCACAAAAATTTAAAAAGAAAATTTTATATTTTTTACCTTTTTCAAAAAATCAAAAATTTTGCGTGTTTTTTTCGGAGGTTTTTCAAGAAGTTAAAAACAAAGGATATTTATTTTCGAAATAATACACTATATCAGGAAAAATGTCAATTTCTAAAAGTTTGACGGCCCTCTGGTTCCCGTTCTCGAAAGCTTATTAGACATTTGGGCTTTCATCGCACGAGATTCAACTTTGAAGCTTAAATTCATGGATTCCTTTGATCCTCTAAAGTAGTTTGTTCGATGCCTTAGGAAAAGCTTTTTGAGTGGAACTTCTTAGCCGACTGCTTATACAAAATTTTCGTTCTTTTTAATTCGGTTAATAAAATGATTCAAATTTGATACAGGATTTTATCGAGACGAGTCCATACGGTAACTTAATTTCAAACTGACATAATTTATTTAAATAAAAAACGCAGGCTTATCACAAAATTTCGGTGCTAGTGTTCAGAAATAGCAAACAATCTCTTCTGGAATAGGGTATAGAGAACCCACATAACTAAAGTAATAAACAGAATGTTATTTTAATTATTTTAATTCGTAATAATTTTGGAAATTAAGATTTTGCCATAATAGAAGTTGTTTACGGTGATCTTAATAGAATCTTCTAGTTTCGTTTGTTTAAAGTTTACTAAAGTTCCTATATTGTTTATTACATATAGGTTATGAGAGGTACAAATAAATTATAAAATTTAAATTAAAGAGATGAGGAAATATTTTCGTTGGGTTCAAAAGAGATTTTTAATTGTTTTTTATTTATTTATTTTATAGAATAGTGTATAAACATTATATTACACTTAAAGCATAAATTTATGTAAAAATAATAATTCCCAAAATAATAATAATAACACATTACTTTGAATAAACTTAATTATTTTTTTTATTTAATTTAATTATTTTTTTTTACCTAATTAAGTAACGACATGAGTATTAAACAAAATTAATTAAAAGGTAAGAACAAAGCATTTTTCAGTGTTTTTTAGTAATATAGAAAATATCTAAGAGGTATGTCAATCCTTTCTCAATACTGCCATCTTTCATTTATTTAATTTTTAAAATTTTATTAAAACGTAATACGTGTTTGGCAACAATTGGATAGATTTATCAAAAATTCGCCATAAAATAGGCCTGGAATTTTTCGATTAATTACGTGTTAAAACATTTATTGCCTTAGATAGGACAGGTTTAGTGTAATATACAATAAATTAATACTTTTTCATATTCTTAATGCCAATGAAAAAAAAAATCAGATTAATGCTAAAATAGCATATATAAATATACAGTCAAGAACTGAAATTATGAAGATGCGCTAGAGATTTTATATTCCTATATCGTAAATGGTTTCTGTCGATTCGTTGTATATCAATCTACCTCCGGAAAATGTTTGCTTTTCGTTTATCCCTTCTGTTTATTTTTCGGTAGAGAATTCGTTCTGGTTTTGAAAGACAGCCTTGTAGGGTTTAGGTCGAGCTACGCTTTAAAAAGGGTAAGGGCAAGCATACAACTTTCCTTAACAATATGACTTATTAAAAATTTTAATAGGTTCTGTATTTTTATTTTGAAACCAGTTATACTTAGTTTTTTTCATATTGTAGATTTGAACGTTTCGTATTTCAATAATATACAGAGAAAGAAAATGCAAATGTAAATTTAAAACCAGTTTTCGATAACGATATTAAAAAACTGTTAAAACGAAATGCGCCATCCAGTAATGTTATTAGAAATTAACGTACCAGTGGATATGATATTTAAAAACACAACAAGACTGCGTTTGCTGGCAACGGATAAGTAGTTGCGAAAATACAGTGATTTAAATAATTAAATATTCGGTAACTTCACCACCCTTATCAGAAGGCGTTCGATCATAAAAATATATCCAATACAATACCAATACACAAGTTCAATTTTCCACTAATTCTATTCAAAATTTTGATTGCTTCAATTTACTTAAATTAACAACGGTTTGGACTAAAACTATTTTGTTGGAGTTTTTTTAACATACAATATAAATAAAATAAAATGAAAAATAATTCCATGCTTTAGCGTTTTATTTAACAAGTAAACAATTCAATATTGAAATTGAAAATTGTTCAACAATCGCTCGCACCCTATTTCAAACTGAAGCCGTCTAGTAACTGATGTATTTACTATCTAAACTAGTTTACCAATCTTTCTTTTGAATTCTATTTTAGATGATATTTAGCATATACGAAATACGTTTTCAAAAATATTACGGTACTTATTGCAGTGTAAAAAAAAATTGTTATCACTATTAATTTTTTGAGAAAAAGTCGTTTTTCTCATGGTAGTCTCATAAGCTTTAAAAAAATTATCTCAGGGTCGTACGCATATTATATAGCCATTTTTTAAGCTCGTATTCCCCTTTTAACCTGATAACCATATTATTTGTTTCATGTTGGGCGCGCACCTATTGTCAAATCCAGAAAACCCAGAAAAACAAAATTTCCGTCATTAAATTGTTTTCCTGATATTTGCCGGTGCAGAACAGCAATTTAGCTTGAAAGTAAACAAGGGCATACTTTACATTGCAGCCACGAATAACTGGGGCGCACAAAAAGCATAAAATTTGGGCCACGTGCGGTAGTAAAAACAACTCGCTTACGTGGAAGAAAGTTGTGGAATCGGCGGGAGCGAAGCCAGAAACTTCACAGAATACCGGACTGACAAGTCAGCTCTTTGGAAAATTTATTACC